CGCGTCAGGTAGGCAGTTCAAGGCTGCGGTGACGTGTTACCTGGCTGTTCCTTGTGGGACCGCGCCCCCTGATCCAGTCCATGGCGCACCTTGTCCTGTGCAAGATCTTCGGCACCGCCTGTTTTTTGAGCCCTCCGGCCGCCTGAGGCCCCGCCCGCCCGCGCCCTGTCTCCCCAATTAGGGCTACCCGCGTCCCGTTTAGCTCTTGACCGGAAGGGGCCCGCTCCCGACCCGCCGACCAAAAAATTTACCTGGCTGGAGCGGTGGCGACCGCTTAGAGGTGGCGACCGTTTCTATTGCCAGTGCGCCCCGAGCGCCATCGAAACTAAAGCCAACGCGATGCGGTGCAGCCGCCTGCCGGGTGGTGCATCCGCGACTGGGGGGTCAGTTGGATAGCGCCCCGCGCTGGTACATTTTGCGAGAGCGGGGGGCCACGACGCTCTGGGCGCAAGGTAACTGGGTTGCTGACCGGCGGTCGAACGACGGTCAAACGACGGTCATCGTTCTACCGACGAGCACGCGTCGACCTGTTGCCCTTAGGGTGGCGCTCAGTTTTGCTGTGGAGGAGGTTTTCCTAGGTCACCCGTAGGCCGGCGATCAGTCTTGATGGGGAGCAGCCGCGTAACTGCCACCCCACAGGATGACGATGGTTCGCCCTGTTGTGGAGCAGGTTTTTCCGCTGTCACCCTTAGATCGGCGATGAGTCCTGCTGGGGAGCCAACCAACCCTCATCCCTAGAGTGGCGATGAACCTGCGTTGGAGCAGGCTCCCTTGTCACCCCTTAGTTGGAGGGGTGCCCAGCTGTGGACCAGATTCCCCCTGTCCCCGCCAGGGTGGCGGTCGGCTCTCATGTGGAACAGGGTCCTTTTGTCACCCCGCATCGGCGACATCGGCGGCAGTATGCGGCAGTGCAGGGGGTCCGCCCCGTTGCTTTCTTGGGGGGGGGACCCCCTGCCTGAGATTTGCCCGCCCGTGTCACCCCTGCGGTGGCGATCCGACCTTTGACGACGCAGGTCCCCCCTACGGTGGCGTCCTGGCCTGCTGCAGAGCAGGTCCCCCCTGCTGCCCTGATGAGGAGCGGGTCCGCCCCGTAACCACCAGGATGGAGATCCTCCCTGCGGTGGAGCAGGCCCACATGTCCCAACTAAGGTAGCAAGCCGCCCTGCCTTGGTGGCCCACTGTGAGCTGCCCTGGGCCCCCCCCCCCCTTACAAGGTTAGGAAACCAGCGTCTGGCGCTATTCTGGGGGATGCCAGCCCATAACCTAATGTGTCGAACAGAGGTGGCTGTCTCGGGGTATGCTAACCACGCATAGTATCCACCAGTGCCAGGTGGGTGCCAGCAATGGTCCTTGCACAAGCTCTGGGACCAGAAGGTGTGTCATCCTAACCCTTCACGAGCACCCCTTCAAGGATGGGAGGCCCATGTGCCCCACCCGACTCGACAGGGTTATACCTATCCTCAAGGGTATTGACACTACACTGCAATCCTCGTCTCCTCCCTGCTCCTCTCCGTCTCTCCCTTCTGTCGCTCCTCCCTCCTCCCTCTCATCCTCCTTCCACCCTCTCCACCTGATCTATCTTCCTCTCCTCCCCCATCCTCCCTCCGTTTCCGCTGCGGTGCAGGTGGTCGCCCGGCAGCTGGACGAGTCGGATATGGAGCCGATGGATTGCAGCACGTACGTCTGGCGGGAGGAGCCGCGCAGCGAGAGGAGGAGGAGGAGGAGGAGGAGGAGGAGGAGGAGGAGGAGGAGGAGGAGGAGGAGGAGGGAGGAGAGGAGGAGGAGGAGGAGGAGGAGGCGGAGGCGGAGGCGGAGGCGGAGGCGGAGGATGCGGAGGCGGAGGAGGAGGAGGAGGAGGAGGAGGGGAGGGGAGGAGGAGGGGAGGAGGAGGAGGAGGAGGAGGAGGAGAGGAGGAGGAGGAGGAGGAGGAGGAGGAGGAGAGGAGGAGGAGGTGAGGAGAGGAGGGAGGAGGAGGGAGAGAGGAGATGCGGAGGCGGAGGCGGAGGCGAGGCGGAGGCGGAGGCGGCGGAGGAGGAGGAGGAGAGGAGGAGGAGGAGGAGGAGGAGGAAGAGGAGGAGGAGGAGGAGGAGGGAGGAGGAGGAGGAGGAGGAGGCGGAGGCGGAGGCGGAGGCGGAGGCGGAGGCGGAGGCGGAGGCGGAGGCGGAGGCGGAGGCGGAGGAGGAGGAGGAGGAGGAGGAGGGAGGAGGAGGAGGAGGAGGAGGAGGAGGAGGAGGCGGAGGAGGCGGAGGAGGCGGAGGAGGCGGAGGAGGCGGAGGAGGGGCGGAGGAGGAGGAGGAGGAGGAGGAGGAGGAGGAGGAGGAGGAGGAGGAGAGGAGGAGGAGGAGGAGGGAGGAGGAGGAGGAGGAGGCGGAGGCGGAGGCGGAGGCGGAGGCGGAGGCGGAGGCGGAGGGGGAGGCGGAGGCGGAGCGGAGGGTAGGCGGAGGCGGAGGAGGAGGAGGAGGAGGAGGAGGAGGAGGAGGAGGAGGAGGAGGAGGAGGAAGAGGGAGAGGGAGAGGGAGAGGGAGAGGAAGAGGAAGAGGAAGAGGAAGAGGAAGAGGAAGAGGAAGAGGAAGAGGAAGAAGAAGAAACAGAAGAAGACGAAGACGAAGACGATTACGAAGAAGAGACGAATAACAATAATACGAAGAAGAATAAGAATAATAAGAAGAAGAATAATAATAATAATAATAATAAGAAGAAGAAGAAGAAGAAGAAGAAGAAGAAGAAGAGGAGGAGGAGGAGGAGGAGGAGCGAGGAGGGAGGAGGCAGCAGTGCGGAGGCGGGGGTGGGGGGATGAGGGAGGTGCTGGTCCATGCCTCCTGGCTCTCTGATGCCCTTCAGGCCGCCTGGCCGCCGCCTGGTCGACGCCGCCGCATCTCGCGCTCAAGCCCGGTGTGCCGCCCACGATCCGCCTCTCCGGGTCCGCCGCAAGGCCGCGGGCGCGTCCGCCCCGATCGGCGCGGTGTCCGAGCATCGAAAGGCCTCGCTGCGGCGCGCGTTCGAGGAGCGCGAGGTCCCCGCCCGTTGCGGTGAATAGAGGGTCTGTGCGCCAACCGCGGGCGCTGCGGAAGGGGTTGGCGATGGACGGCGCTACTGGCCTGGCCGCGACCCTCGTCAAGCGCCCCTCCCCGAGCATACGGGAGACACGGGGCTGGCTTCTTGACCAGGTAGGGGCCTCGTGGCTCGAGCTGCGAGCGGTGCGTGGGCGCCAGGTCGGCAACATGGTGTGCCACCGCTGGACTTTAAGGCTGCCTCGACGAGGCGCGGGGGCTTATCGCTCGCGCTGGGCGCAAGGCGAGGTTCCTGTAAGCACGAACCTCTGCCATGAGCTGGCCATGTGCCTGGTGAGCGTGCCACGTCTCGCCTGCGACATGGGGTGCCCGCTGGACAGGCGGTCAACAAAGCCGCGGGCGCGTCGGACCACGGCGGCGGCGTGTTGGCAGGGCTGGCGTTGATCACAAGAGGCGTGCAGGACGCCCTGCAGGCGTGCAGTGTGCCTCGAGCCCTGGTCGAGCACAAAGTGGCGGTGGTCGAGTTCTTCGGCGGCATCGGCGAGCGTGGGCTGAGGTCGAGTGCGCGGGTAGCCATAGCCTGTTCCCCATTCGCTGTCACGTTCGGCTGAGGGTCCCTCGCTCACCACGGGTAGAAGGCGTGGCCTGCCAGCGTGACGGGGTACTGCGAGCCTCGCGCCGGCACAGGCAGACAGAGTTATGGCACGCAGCTGTCGACAACAAAAGGAAGACATGGTGGTGTTGGTCGTGGTGGCGGCGGTGGCGATGGCCGCGAGGAGGAGCACAACCGCGGGCGGACGCTGCGGCAACAAGGTTGCACAGGGAGATGGAGGGTGATGAATTAGTGGAAGTGGAGGGGACGGCGAGAGGAGAGGGCTGGATGATAGTTGGTGATGGAGGATGATGTACGGAGGGATGGAGGACGACGGAAGAACAGAGGGAACACGAGGGTGGAGGAGGAGGAGGAGGAGGAGGAGGAGGGGGATGTAACTGTTGCTGCGGAGAGCAGAGGAGGCTTATGATGAGGAGGGCGAGGAGGGCGAAAGGAGGGAGGGAGGAGGCAGATGAGTCTGCTCATGCGGTCCCGCCCCCGCGAGGAATTCAGGGACGCGCTCGTAGAGGAGGACTGGGACTTCGAGCGCTTCCAGGAGTCTTATGGCGCGACGGTATCCTCCTCCTCCTCCTCCTCCTCCTCCTCCTCCTCCTCTTGTTGCTGCTCGTCCTTCTCCTTCTCCTTCTCCTCCTCCATATTTTCCTCCTCCTCGTTTTCTTTCTCCTCGTCCTGTTACACCTGGCTTTTGTTGTTAATTCTACGGTTATTCGCATCATTCTTCTTATGTGTACCATTCTTATGTTTACCTAATCCTCCTCCTCCTCCTCCTCCTCCTCCTCCTCCTTCGCATCTTTCTCCACATTCACCTTCTTCTTCTTGTTCCGCCTTTCGTGCTGTCGTCGTCGCCCTTCTCCTCTTCATCGCCGTCTTTCTCTTCCCCCCTCCTCCTGTTTCCCTTTTCTCTTCCTTCTGAGGGCCACCGTGTTCTGCCCTCAACGTTGCCCTTGGGAGGCGGCGGACGATCAGGACGCGAATGAGGAGGAGGAGAAGGAGGAGGAGGAGGAGGATGCGAATGACTAGGAGGAGGAGGAGGAGGAGGAGGAGGAGGAGGAGGAGGAGGAGAGGACTAGGAATAGGGCAAGTGTGTTGAGCACGAATCGCATGACCGTTAGATAATGTGAATCGGAGGAGGAGGAGGAGGAGGAGAAGGAGGAGGAGGAGGAGGAGGAGGAGGTGCATAATCAGGAGGAAGATCCCCTCCACTGGGACCCGCTTTTCATCTCGAGCCATTTTTTGACGATCCTGTAGCCTCGCAGGGCCCCGAGGCACAACATTACCAAACACGTTCTACAGTTTTATTTCTCGTCGCGGGGGGTTATGTGTGCGTATTTGGCCTCCTCCCCCTTCTCCTCCTCCGCTTCTTCCTTCTCCTTTCG